ACCTTCAGGACCAGTGGTGAGAGTGGCGATACTGGGAGGGTGGAGTGAAGGTGGGGTGGAAAGGGGGAACCGATTACAGGGATCTACATATAACCCCCTCCCTTGGGGACGGACAACAGAAAAGTGGGTGAAGGGAGATGTTGGACAGTGTAAGACATGACAAAATAATAATAATTTATAAATGATCAAGGGTTCATGAGGGAGGGGGATGAGGAGGATGGGGAAGGAAAAAAATGCTGATACCAAGGGCTCAAATAGAAAGCTCATGTTTTGAGAATGATGATGGCAACAAATGTACAAATGTGCTTGACACACTGGATATATGTTTGGATTGTGATAAGAGTTGTATGAGCCCCCAATAAAATGATGTTTTTGGAAAGAAAGAAGTATATGTAATTACCTAAGTCTTTGTACTTGGCACATAGCAAGAGCTGATAAAGTTTAGGTTTTTCATTTTTAAATATCGGTCTGTTCTTTAAGAGGTTTTCAGGAATTTTAACATTTTAGCTGGACCTTTGCAATAAGAAGAATGAATTAGGCAAATAGAAATGCCCATCTCTCATCTGCCTTCCTCTTTAGAGTACACCATCATTACAGGCGAAGGCGTTGTCTGACTCATTGTTATGTCCCAGGCTGTAGAGCCCTGCCTAACAGACTAGGGGCTCCGTATGTACTTGTTAATAGCATGGGTGAAAAGGGATAGGAATTACTCTGTTGGCTGAGAAGTCTGATTTTGAGGGAGCTACGTTTAAATGTGACAGTGCTGGTCTGTTGAATTACTGACCTTTAAACAGATTTATTTCTGTCATTGTACCTGTGTTGATCAGTTGGATTTCCTTTATAAGCCTTGAATGCATTTTGGGAAATTGGCACTTCACGAACATGTTGGCAAACTTCCTTTTTGGGTGGCGTTGGTATCGACTATCTGTTTAAATTATAGCCAAGATGCCAACAATTGTAGTTGGTGTTTATGTTTGCGTCTGTCTTTTACATTCCAGAGTGAACCTCTGTATGTGCCTGTGAAGTTTCATGATCTTCCAAGTGAAAAACCTGACAGCACAAATATTGACACTGAAAAAGGTGAGCAAGACTTGGGATTTCAGAAGTTGAGAATGGGTAGAAATTCCTCCTTCATTCAAAAGCCCATCACACAAGGTAGTGGTTGTGTGGGTTGACTGAGGCCGCCCAGCAGTTCCTAGCTTTGGAACTGAAGTTCTCTGTGATGTTCTCTGGGCCTGTAGCCTTCTGGAAGCTTGACTGGGTTTTTCAAATCCTTAAAAAAAAATTAATCCAATGGGGAATAATTTTAAAATGCCAGAAATCTTTAGGGTGATTTTCTATCTCACATGAATTATGCCCTCTTCAACCATACCCTCAACCCCCCTGGTAGCAAATTACAGGAATTTGCTTGGCTCTGAATGCCAGCTTCAATGTAAGGCACCCTTTTTAACCCATAATATTCTCTTGCAAGAAATAAACTTAGAGAGGAATGTTCTGCATGCTTGCCCAGCAAAGTAATTCTCATACATTGACTATCCATGAGAAAAAACTCAAAGTTTTACTATCAGTGCTAAGATAATAATCTTATTACAATCCTGAACCAGTCAACTGTGTGTGCACACAATTGCTAAAACATTGTTTTAATATAGGCCTCATTTTAAACCGTTTTTGTAGATGAAACCACTTTTTGCTGTAAACTCTTGAAATGAATAAAGGCAATCACTTGCTATTAGGCACACACGCTGAACCAGGGTGGGAAGCAAAGAGGACTACACACACACACGTAGAGGTTTGGCAGGATGTTGCTCTATGTGTCTTTACCTCTGTTGCAAATGTATCCATGAATGTGGTAGACAGTATAGGGTGCAAAGCTATGAAAACTTAGACATGGGCGAGCACCTTGAGGGAGTAAGTCACTGAGCTTAGGGCCTTGAGACTATTCTTGAGGGTCACCAAGGTCAGTTGACGTAACTCTACAATGACAACGTTCTCTATCTTCCTTGGGTGAGCAGTGGCTAGAGTCTTAAAAACTTGTGAAAAATCATTTTAGGTGCATCGAGTGATCTCTCCTTAACTGCAGGAAAGAAGAGTTGAAAAAAAATTGTACAGAAACCTGCCAATGAGTCAATTCTGACCCACAGTGACCGTAAAGGTCAGTATAGAATTGGCCCTGTGAGTTTCAGAGGCTGGAGTACAGAGTCCTCCTTCTCTAGTAATTTCTAACTGCTCGTCTCACAGTTATCAGCCCAAGGGGTAACCACCACGTCACCGGGCACATTGAAGACCGGTGGAAATAAGTAGTCTAATAGACTAATGGACCCTGTGAACGTCAGCTTTCATGACTGTCAGACCCACCGACCCACGACTGCTGACCGCTCGGAAAGGGCTCACAATAGGAGATCCTGGATAGTGGAACGAAACTGAGGTCATAAAACCAGGCCTCCTGTTCTGCTGGAGAGTGGTTGAACCTCTTAGGGTCCGGCTCTTAGACATCCTCAGGCCTAGAGCTGAAGTCACCCTCTGGCTCCTCTTCCAGCTAAATGATAGGCCTAGGAGATGAGCAGTAACACCTGGGGTCCTCACGCCGTAGAACAATCACCACTGTGAGACAGAAAGGGAAGTGTTTGCCCAGACAGTGTAGCAGACAGGAAGGGTTAGGAAAGAGGGAGGGAATTATGTGAGTGCTTGTGGGGATTTAAATCAGTGTTGGAATCATGTGCATGAATTATTGAGTGAAAAACTAATTTTCTCTACAAATTTTCACTAACATCATAATAAAATAAGAAATATATATTCTTGTTCTTGGTTTTGAATCTGCTGGTACATTAATTAACTAATGCTTTGAACACAGTTAAAACTTGTAACTTTTGTTGATCACAGGGAAAGTATTCACTGATTAAAAAAAAATTTTTTTTAAGCTCCAAAAAAATCTCGAGTAAGGTTCAGTAATATTATGGAGATTCGACAGCTCCCATCAAGTCACGCGTTGGAAGCTAAATTGTCGCGCATGTCTTATCCTGCCGTGAAAGAACAAGAGTCCATACTAAAAACCGTGGGGAAACTGAATGCAACTCAAGTAGCAAAAATAAGCTTTTTCTTTTGCTTTGTGGTAAGTCTTCTCCTTGTTATGTTTGGAACATAAATTAAGACTTTAGTGCATATCAACAATATACTGTTGAAGGGAGCTGTTGGGCTGCTTAATCACAAAGTTGAATCAAATCTGGGACATTAGAACATGAAAGTTAATAAATGCGTGTTACACCTCAGAATTAGAGCTCAGTAAAACCTGTACCATTAAAGCTATACATACATGCTTATATATACAAGGGGCCTCAGCATTTGATGGAAAATTGGATTTAAAGACAATGAGAAGTTATTGCTTCCTGGCACATCCTCCTGGCACATCCTCCATTTAGTCTATATGTTTCTGAACCGTGTTTCCGTCTCCTAATCCTTCTGTGAAGAATCTGAGCCATTTGGATTCACACCGCCTCAAAATGGCAATTTTGACATTTTAATGAACCCAAACCATGTTCCTTTAAATATTTTAGGATCAAAAAGTTTTACAAACAAAAAGAAGTCTGAAGGGGCAAGAGTAAGGCTAGATGGGGTAAGGCTTCTGCACAACATTGTCATAGGATAATCCTGGCACATTGCTGTGGTGGGGAAAATTTTGGTGTCACTTTCTTTGCCTTTTCCTTAGCAATACAGTTTTAAATGTTCTTAAATCTTTTTCCTGATAAGTCCCCATCTTTGTCCTGTGTCCTGGGAAAAACCTCCTTTGGTCCCAAAAAACAATACCAAAACTTCCTGAGCTGACTTCTCTTGTCTTGAACTTAACTGAATTTGTAGATGTCCTTAGAAGCGATTGTTTTCATTAAACCTCTTTTGAAGGCACTCTTGTAAGAGTAAGACAATTGTATTACTGAGAGAAATGATCTTTCACTAATTGCAGAACTATATTCAAGTGTATCTTGTTTGGAATAAAACTTGACCCGGGTAACACCACCACCATCACCCGGCCCCTGCCACACAATATATTTTTATTTACGTTCATATATATGAGGTAACTTCAAAAAGTTCATGGATAAGTGGAATGAAAAGATAATGGAATTTCTCCATGAACTTTTTGAAGCCCCGTTGTATTACGTAGCACATTGCACTGCATAATTTGCTGATACCGTATTTTGAAGTTTGTATGTGATGTTTCTAACTCAAAGAGAGCGTCGATTTATGAAGATACTAGAATGAAGAATTTAATTTATTGCAAAACTTACTTAGGACAGTCGCAGGAACAACAGAGCCCCATCTAAGTCAGGGGCCTCTGTGTGTGTGTGTGTGTGTGTGTGTGTGTGTGTGTGTGTGTGTGTGTAGTCATCAGAATTTTGCATTAACTCAGAGTTGATATTATGAATAGTCATTTAATTATCCATAGAGTCACCCAAGCAAGGGTTTTCTGTTTATTCTTCAAGTGTGTTTGCAGTTGTATATTAAAATCATGTAAATGTGATAAAGTATTTTTAATAAACAATATTCTAAATACTATAGAATTTTTATAACCTTATTGATAGCTTCACTTTTTTTTTGATGGTGTATCTTTTTTCAATTAAAATTTTATTTATTTATTTATTTTACATCAATATATTGGAACCTTGTACAATTCTTATCACAATCCATACATACATCCATTGTGTCAAGCACATTTGTACATTTGTTGCCATCATCATTCTCAAAACATTTGCCTTCCACCTGAGCCCTTAATATCAGCTGTTCATTTTCCCCCCTCCCTCCCCATTCCCCCCTCTCATGGACCCTTCATAATTCACAAATTATTATTATTTTGTCATATGTTACACTGTCCAGTGACTCCCCTGCCCTTCTTCTGCTGTCCATCCCCCAGGGAGGAGCCTATACCCAGATTCTTGTAGTCGGTTCCCCCTTTCTACCCCACATTAGCTCCACTCTCCAGGCATCGCCACTCTCACCACTGGTCCTGAAGGAGTCATCTATCCTGGATTCCCTGTGTTTCCAGTTGCTATCTGTACCAATGTACATCCTCTGATCTAGCTAGTTTTTTAAGGTAGAATTGGAATCATGATAGTGGGGGTTGGGGGGGAAAGCATTTAAGAACTAGAGGAAAGTTATATGTTTCATCGTTGCTACCCTGCACCCTGACTGGCTTATCTTCTCCCCACAACCCTTCAGTAAGGGGGTGTCCAGTTGCCTACCGATGGGCTTTGAGTCTCCACTCTGCACTCACCGTCATTTACAATGATACGATTGTTTTGTTCTTTGATGCCTGATACCTGATCCCTTTGACAGCTCGTGGTCACACATGTTGGTGTGCTTCTTCCATGTGGGCTTTGTTGCTTCTGAGCTAGATAGCTGTTGGTTTATCTTCAAGCCTTTAAGACCCCAGACGCTATATCTTTTGATAGCTGGGCACCATCAGCTTTCTCCACCACATTTGCTTATGTACATATTTGTCTTCAGCGATCCTGTCTGGAAGGTGTGCATCATGGAATGCCAATTTAATAGAACAAAGTGTTCTTGTATTGAGTAAGTACTTGAGTGGAGGCCCAATGTCCATCTGCTACCTAAACCTATATATATAGGCACATAGATCTATTTCCCCAACATCCTATGTAAATATATTTCCATATGTACATGCCTGTGTTTAGACCTCTATAAGTACCCTTTGTCTCCTAGTCCTTTCCTCTATTTCCTTTTACTTTCCTCTTGTCCCACTATCATGCTCAGCCTTCATTTGGGTTTCAGTAATTTCTCTTGGATACATTGCCCTTGCTGAATCCCTACCAGGCCTCTCACACCCTCCTTGCCACTGTTTTTGGATCACTTGTTGCTCCCCTGCCCCTGGGTTGGTCAGCACCATCTCCTTACCCCTGCCTTACCCTCTCCCTTTTCCCCCCAGAAACATCAGTCCTGTTGTTTTCTCCTCCAGATTGTTCATCCGGCCTATCTTATCTAGACAGACCTGTAGAGATAAAAACATGCACCAGAAAACAATGCATAGCAAAATAAAGTGACAAAAAGAACACAATGATGACAACAAAAAAGAAAAGCAATGACCCATAAAAGAATGAATTAATTAAAAAAATTTTTAAAAGAAAGAAAAACCTTTAAATAGATCAAGGTCTGGTTTATGACCTCTAGGCGTGGCCTCCAGTCAAGTCTGATGGGGTGCCACGCCCTGGCTCCACAGTCTATCCTTTGCACTCCCTCGGGAGCTCCCTGCTCTGCTCCCCATTCCTCTGCAGCATGCCCTTAGTGTTTTGCCTGGGTGTCACGGGGTCAGTCTAGGCCAATCCTGACTCTGAGTCTCCAGTGTTGTCCTTCACAGGGCCATGGGTCAGCGAGAGATGGCGTGTCTCATAGTGGGATCAGCCATCACTCTGTGCATTGGCTGTTCTGAGCGGGGATTATCATCCTCCAGGCCTGGTGGGCCAAGATGTGCTCGCTTTCTCTTCCTCCCCATTCAGTTACTCCTTTGTGCTCTGATCAGACATGTCCCTCTCCCCTAACTGCAGCTTCAGTGTGATCCTCTAAAGTAAATTCTTCTGTGGGGAGGGGCAGTTGTCCACATAGCTGGTATGGGGGCCGAGCCCTCAGGCCCCTCCACAGACTCCACTCTCCATGCTGGCAAGCTGCATTCGCATCCCGGAACACTGGATTTAAGTCTGGTCTCTTTCCTGTGGAGACACAAGCAATACCCTCCCCTTGGGTGGGTCAGTGCCCTATTCCCCCATCACACATCTCTTTTTTTTTTTTCCCTTCCCCACCTCCCACACCCCCTCCTTTTTAGTTGGCTACCATACGTACTCCTGGATTTCGTCTGGCCCCTGCCATACTACCTGGACTTCACCCCTGGAGTGTTTGTATACAGTAGCTTTTTCCCTGTGCCCCTTTTGCATTTTTCTTTTCTTTTTTATAAACTTACCTAAGGGACTCATGCTGTACTTGTCCTTTTGTGCTTGGCTTACTACACTTAGCTTAATTTCCTCGAGTTCTTCCCATGCGGCGATATGCTTCATGCGTTCATCACCGCTTTTTAGCGATGCGTAGTACTCCATTGTATGTATGTTCCAGTTTTTTACTCCATTCGTCTGTTGATGGAAAATTGGGTTGTTTCCAACTCCTTGCAATTGTGAACTGTGCCGCAATGAACATTGGAGCACAGATGTCTGGCCGTGGTTTGTTTCTTGCCTCTTCTGGGTATGTGCCCAGTAGGGGGATTGCTGGGTCGTCTGGTAACTCATTTCCATCTGTTTTAGAAATTGCCACATCGATTTCCATAGTGGCTGTATATACCTACAGGTCCACCAGCAGTGGATGAGAGTTCCTGTCTCACCGCAGCCCCTCCAACACTTGTTGCTTTCTGATTTTTGGATTGGGCTATCTTTGAGGGTGTTAGGTAGTATCTCATTGCTGTTTTAATTTGCATTTCTCTTATAGCTAATGATCACGAACATTTTCTCATATGTTTATTTGGCCATTCGGATTTCAGACTCTGTGAAACTTCTGTTCAGGTCCTTTGCCTACCTCCTCAGTGGGCAATTTTTTTTTTTCTTTTTGGAAGCTAGCAGAGTATTGTAGGTTTTCATAATAAGGCCTTTGTCTGATGTGTCATTGCTAAAGATGTTTTCCCAGTTGGTGGGCTCTCTTATTACTCTCTTGGTGAATTCTTCCAATGTACACAGGTGTTTTATCTTCAGTATATCCCATTTGGAAATTTGTGCCTCCTCTGTGTTTGTGTCCTTCCCTATTTCCGATAGCCTATGTATTCCCTACACCAAAGTTCTCAGAATTGTCCCAATTACCTCACTGATGGCCCTAGTAGTTGGGGTTTTACCTTGGGGTCTGTGATCCACCTTGAGTGTATTCTTGTGCATAGCGTGAGGTAAGAGTCTTGCTTCATTTTTCTGCAGGTAGATATCCATTTTTTCCAGCAACATTTATTGAAGAGGGTATCTGCTTCCCATTTAATATTTTTGCGCCTTTATCAAAGATCAGTTGCCGGTGTGCTGTTGTTTTTATTTCTGGGTCTTCAGCTCTTTTCCATTGGTCTGACTATCTGTCATTATGCCAGTA